AAATGGGGTTATAATACTCAAAAAGACCGGCCAGATCATTACAGCAGTTTATCTCACACTTCTAGAAGGTTATACAACGTGAGTTAGGCACAAGGGTTGAGTTGAGTATAGCATTTCATCCACAGACAGATGGACAGTCAGAGCGCACTATTCAGATATTGGAAGATATGCTTCGCGCTTGTGTTATAGACTTTGGAGGTTCTTGGGATAAGTTCTTGCCACTTGCGGAATTTGCTTATAATAATAGATACTAGTCAAGCATTCAGATGGCTCCATATGAGGCATTATATGGAAGGCGATGTCGTTCGCCAATGGGCTGGTTTGAACCGGGAGAGGCTCGGTTGTTGGGTACCGATTTGGTACATGATGCCTTGGATAAAGTCAAAGTTATTTAGGATCGACTTCGCACAGCTTAGTCTAGGCAAAAGAGTTATGCCGACCGTAAGGTTCATGATATTGCATTCATGGTTGGAGAAAGAATATTGCTCCGGGTTTCACCTAAGAAAGGTGCAATGAGGATCGAAAATAAGGGTAAGTTGAGCCCTAGGTATATTGGACCCTTTGAAATTCTTGAAAGGGTGGGTGAAGTAGCCTATAGGCATGCATTACCACCTAGTTTATCAGCGGTTCATCTGGTGTTTCATGTGTCTATACTTCGGAAATATCATGGTAATCCGTCCCATGTGTTAGATTTCAGCTCAGTCCAATTGGACAAAGATCTGACTTATGAAGAGGAACCGGTAGCTATTCTAGCACGTCAGGTCCGACAGTTGAGGTCTAAGAGTTACCCTTCAGTTCGTGTGCAATGGAGAGGTCAGCCGGTAAAAGCATCTATGTGGGAGTTCGAGTCATACATGCGGAGTAAATATCTACACCTTTTCCCCAACTCAGGTACTTTTTCTAACTCCGTTCGAGGACGATCGTTTGTTTTAGAGGTGGAAAATGTGATGACCCAAAAGGTAATCTTTAAATTTAATAATTATTTATGTGATCTAAGACCTCAAAAGCACTATTCATCATTCCTCGACTTGCGTGCGTAGTCCATATAATTTTTCGGAAAGTTTTTATATGAAAAATTGATCAAAATGTGAAATAGAGCCTTAAAACTCAACTGAGATGACTTTGGTCAACATTTTGAGCAAACAGACTCGGATCAGTATTTTGACAATTTTGGTAGGTCCGTATCGTGATTTGGGACTTGGGCGTATGCCCGAAATTTAATTTGGAGGCCCCTATCTTGAATTATCGCCAATTGGCGAAAACTTGAAGCCTAAAGGCTTAAAGATTTCAAAATTTGACTACAAACTGACTTTTATTGATATCGGGGTCGGATTCGAGTTCTGAAATTTTTTATAGGTGTGTTATCTATTTAAGACTTTGTCTATCAAATTTGGTAAGAAACGGAGTTGATTTGGCATGATTCGGACGTTCGGTTGTGAAAATAGAAGCTTTCTTAAAATTTTCATTTGATTTGGTTTCTGCTTCGTAATTCTAGGTGTTAAATTGGTGTTTTGATCGCGCGAGCGAGTTTGTATGAGGTTTTTGGACTTGTGTGCATGTTTAGTTTGGAGCCCCGAGGCTCGGGTGAGTTTCGGATAGCCTACAGACCATTTGAATTTTGGAAAATCTCCTATTTCCCAGTTATGGTTTCCTTAATCACGATCGCGTGGCTTCATCCGCGATCGCGAAGGCTTGTTGAGCATTGATGAAAATTTGTACTATGCGATCGCATAGTATTGTACGCGATTGCACAGTTGGAAAAGCTAAGGCACCGGAACCCGTGGGCAAAGCCGCGTTCTCTGCGATCGCATGTCCATTTACGCGATCGCGTATAGTTAATAATCCGGCAACCAAAATGTGCTTCGCAATCGCAAAGAATTATCCGAGATCGCAAAGAGTAAAAGGAACTTGAGAAAACATTGTTCTACGCGATCGCCATGAGTAAAAATCTGGGCAAACAGAACTTAAGTTCTGGAGATGGGATTTCGACCCATTTTCCACCATTTTCGATTTTGAACTCGGGTAAGACGATTTTTGGGCAATTTTCATGGAAAAATATTGGGGTAAGTGTTCCTTATCCAATATGGATTATATTTCATGATTTCATACTCATCTACATCATGAATTCGTGAATTTATGAAAGAAAATCAGATTTTTATAAAATCTTCCAAAAATGTAAAATGAGGCTTTGAAAGCCAGTCCGCTGTCGGAATTTGATAATTTTTGTATGGTTAAACTCGTATCGGAATGGGTGTTCGAATTTCGTAAATTTTTTCGGGATTGGATACGTGGGTCCTACTGTTGATTTTTAAAATAAATTTCGAATTTTTATCCAGAAAATTTATAAATTCATATTGAATTAATTCCTACGATTTGTATTGAGTATATTGAATTGTTTGTGATTAGATTTGAGGATTTCAGACACTAATTCGCGAGGCAAGGGTGTATTGGAAACTTGTATTTGGTTGCTAAGCGAGGTAAGTGTCGTGGTTAACCTTGACTTAAGGGAATAGAACCCTTAAATTATTTGTTATGTGAGATGCATGTGCATTACGTATAGGAAAGGTGACGAGTGTCTATACGTTGTCAAATTAATTGTCTGCATAATTACTTGAAAAATCATAAATCGGTTTAAATCATGAATGAATTATTATATTAATTGTTTCATTCATATTCCTTGTCAAATATTAATTCTTGAATTCATGCAATAATTGTTACATGCTTATTTGACTTATGTGTCTTAATTGCTATTTGACATTTAGCATACTAAATATTAAACTGTCTATTTTTCTCAATGATTTTCACAATTAATTGCTAATTGTCATTATTTGTTCATAAATAAATTATAATTGTTGTGTGTCTTGATGCTTAATAGTTTCTCATTGGAGGTGGTATTTATTGAAGTAATTTTTATTATATTTAATTAATTCTTAAAATATATTGGGGGATCGGGTTGCATGCCTCAACTGAAATGGAAGTAAATCTATATTGGGGAATCGGACTGCACGCCGCAACACACTTATTTAAAAGTCTATATTGGGGGATCAAATTGCACGCCGCAACAGACTTATTTAAAAGTCTATATTGGGGGATCAAATTGCACGCCGCAACAGACTTATTTAAAAGTCTATATTGGGGGATCGGATTACACGCCGCAACAGACTTATTTAAAAGTCTAAATTAGGAGATTAGATTGCACGCCGCAACAGACTTATTTAAAAGTCTATATTGGGGGATCGGGTTGCACGCCGCAACGAAATTATTTAAAATTTATATTTGGGGAACGGGTTGCACGTCGCAATAGAAACAAGTTGAGAGATTGTGACGACTGAGTTGATTTCAATTAATAATATTATTTACTGGTCTTACTAATATTTCCATTATTATTATTGTTGTTATTACTATTATTACGTACAAGTTAAATGTAAGTGATCCGCCTTAGCCTCGTCACTACTCCGTCAAGGTTAGGCTCGGCACTTACCACTACATTTCAGACTTTACTTCCACATTTGTTTCTTTGTTATTTATTAATTAAAAATTATTTTAAAATGGCTAATATTATTCTAGCGTTGGCTTGCCTAGCAAATGAAATGTTAGGCGCCATCACGGTCCCGAGGTGGGAATTTCGAGTCGTGACACACGACACTTACCAGTACATGGGGTCGGTTGTACTGATACTGCACTGTGCACTTCTTGTGCATATTTCGGAGTTGGTACCAGTAGCGTATTGTAGATTTGCCCGGATACAGCTACCAGTGGAGCCTTGAGGTATAATTGCACAACGTTCGCAATTCTGAAGTTCTCTTCTATATTATCTCAGTTGTGTATTATATTTCAAACAGCTTGAATTTTATTCACACCTTTATTTGTATTATTCTAGAAGCCTGTGCACTTGTGACTCCAGTTCTGGGATGTTATTTAGACATCGCTATTATTATGGTTAATTCACTATATTTCAGGCTTTACTTCCGCATTTGTTTCTTTGTTATTAATTAGTTTAAAATGGCTAATATTATTCTAACATTGGCTTGCCTAGCAAGTGAAATGTTAGGTACTATCATGATCTCGGAGGTGAAAATTTTGGGTCGTGACACTTTGTCAAAAATTCCCTTAGTATTCCTACTCCACCAGCACTAGCAACCAAAGCCTGAATTGTAAGGCCAACTGAGTGGATTGAAAACAATGAATAGTAAAAATGTGAAGGACATAAGGCAAAACCAAAAGCAAAACAGAGGCATATCTGCTACTTTTAGACATTCAAGCTATAAGCTCCAATATATTAGTTAACTCTTCTCATAAAACTCCAAAATAAAGAATGAAGCTCTAGTATTCATGGCTTCATTAAGTCATGTCGTTCTTGTATAATCATGAAAGATATATGAAATCGAACAACCAGCAATGTCAGCGACATGGAACAACTACCATCCATCATTTTTTTTTAAATCAGTTATAACTACCATCAAACATTAACCATAAACTAGCAATAATCAGTAGATAATAACAATCAGCAACAGCCTACAAAGTAATTTATGAAGTTATTCAAATAAGTCGTAACAAATTCTCATCCTAGAATCCTCTGTCCTCGAATAGAATGCACTCGTGTGAATATTAATTACCAATTCAAGATAGTGAGATCCCGTCATGGTCTGCTACTAGCATGCAATTTATACAAAAAGTTCTTTTCTACCCTATAGAAAATATAATAAAGAAAAGGAGAGGGAAGCCATAAAATTTAAGATGTATTGTTGTCATCACATATATCCAAAGATGATTATTAGAGCACAAAGCCGATGAACAATGCTGAAACAAAATATAACTAACACTTTTTAACTAATTGCTTATTACTTGGACAAAAATGTGAGTTGGTTGACACACTCATTTTACCCCATTTGCACTCCAAAAAATAATAACGTCGCACTAGATAAAATTATGAAATAGCTCTATCCCCTTTGATGTATCTATGTTGTGTACCGAGCAAACTTATGCATAATGAGATGGTATTAAAGACAAATCAAAGGAAAATGAATTAGTAATATAAGTTTCATCCGGGACAAGGCCTAAATCACTTTAAAGATGGATAAACTTTTCAACAAGAGCAATAACTGGAACAGAGAAAGATTCTTCTTACACGGTTAACACTCTCCACGAGCAAGCAATAGCCAAATTCCTGAATCTCTCATTGTGTTGTGGCAGAGGAAGGGGAAAACAGGAAAAAGAACCTGAGAAGATATTATAAAAGCATGTCTTCAAATAGTCAACCTCGTTGAACTCAATCAAGGGTGCTACAAATTAGCTACGATGATGTTTAAAACTCAAATTAAAATATACACACTACAATATATTCGGGAAAAATTTCACAAATAGTCACCTTTCAACCTTTATCTACAATTAAAAAATAACCATTGTTTATGGAGTTATACTTGTGGAATTTGAAACTCCATGTCATCCCCATTCCAAATGATAAATCATATCATTTAGAAAGAATCAAAAGCAGTTAACTATTGACTGAATAAGGCATCTTAGAATTCTTATATTTTCCATTTTTTGTATGTCATTTGTTGATTGTTTTATGTATTACTACTTCGTAAAAAAATGAATACTATGAGAGTAATTTTTTTTTTAAGTTTTAGCTATATTTAGTACAAATCTTAAAGACACCAAATTTTATAGTTAAACCAACCAAAGGAAATAAATGAGAGAAAATGAAAATAATAAGATAGATAATGTTCAATATTAAAGAATAATGCGAAAGAGAGAAGATCATACACATTACGAATCCAAAAAGATCTCAATATATTGCCAAATACTCAATTTCTAATACCTCTCCTTTCACATCAGCAAAATATGTGCAATGTAAGTCAATTACAACATTAACCAACAAAAGCAAAATGAAAATATCAAAATAAGATTGAAATTGGCATCAATCACAATCCGAAAAACTGCAATAGACAAGCAAATGTATATCAAGAAATCACCTTTAGTTTAACACTAATCCAAGCAAAATCTCCGAATGCCACAATCTATATCTGCTTCTAGCTCAACAGAAAAAGACATGACCATGACAACCTTCAACATATGAAAAATAAGTCAATAGCAAGAAAACAAGAAACTTTGAAAACATGTGTGGTAAAATTCACAAATTGTTACCATAGAATTGTATGGCTGGCCAGTTAAATCCTACCCCCAAAAAAAAAAAAAAGAAACAAACAATAACCGAAGCTAAAGGACAAATAATAATCAAATGAAATGATTCATAAATTAAAGGACAAAAAAGAAGAATGAATCAAACAGAAAAAGAAGCTCTGCAACCTACAGAACAGAAGGAATAAATAATACAAGCAAAGGCTTTACAACCGATTGCTTATATAAACGAAATGAAATTTCAAGTTTACGCTTTTCTAAGGCGGGATCCTGGCTCAAGGCTTGAACTTCCCCTACAATTTGTCTAACATTATTCATTGTCCCAATAATGTTTGGAGTTAAGACTATCACTGCCCTTCATTTATATGAGAAAACTAAGAGTTTCTAAAAACTAAATAGTTTTTGGAACATGAAAAGTTTTGGAAATAGAAGTCTTTTCAATTTCTTCCTTAAATTGTGTAATGTATCTAGACACTTCCAGAAATTTTAAAATAAGCTAAACTGTAAATAAATGAAGAAAAAACTAAACAATGAGAAAAAGGATAAAAGGGTTTTCTAGTAGCCTTTTAAAAAGTGACAAAAAAGAAACATGAATATTATAGCAATAATCTCTTCATTTGTCCACAATTTCAAGTTACTTGAACTTGAATATTTGTAAAGACTTCATTGTTTTTAAAGAGCATAATAATGACCGGAAACTACAGAGAATCAACATTACTATCTTGGTAGTTGTTATTCATGATAAGGAATGATCATTTCCTTAAATTCTTCACATTTTGAGAGAAATGACGAGAAGTTAGGTTAATGCATCAGTTTTAAACAATAATTTAAGTTACTTTTATAGATATTTAATTTATTATTTATTGGAATGTAAATTTACTTTTTTGTACAAAACTATTATAGGAATTATAGTGTTTAAAGGAAGGGTAAAATTGTCTTTCAACTTCAGAGGTTCCCGCTTATAATATATATNATTTGTATTATTAAAAATGTATAGATGATGAAATGATAAAAGAATGGAGAAAAACTTTCATCCGAAATTATGCAACGTATTTTAGAGGATGTAGTGTATATGAGATAGTGTTATAACTGTAACAAATGTATTTATAGAAATAATCAATAGTTAATAAATTCAAGAATTTTTATGAGCTAATTATTGGATATGTTTCAAAATAGAATTCCCCTTTATTAGGAAAGTAACCTTTTTTAAAAAAAAATTCCCCTATATTAGGAAAGTTACCTTTTCTTAGAGAATAAGTTTTATATATTTGTTGTAGATTATGTTATTCTATTACAAGTTGTAGATAATGAAATGTTTTCAGAATTCATAGGTAATTATGAAAACCTCCCTAGCCTAAGAAAAAGCCACAGCAAGACCAGGGAAGAGGCAAGCAAATCCAACAATCCAGATAGCAATATTAGCAGGAAGGAACACTCCCATAGCAATAATCATTGAACAAGCTACTGCAATGGCACCTATTTTTCCCACAACAGACGCAGCAGCCACCCGTTTCTTACTTCTAAACCACATGGCGGCAAAAGTGCCAATAAATCCAACAGCATTAGCGGCCACCACAAAGTGCAGCCCTCTAAGAGAAGATGAGCTTGTTGAAGCATAAGGCAAGAGGGAAATGGCTGCCTGACCGGTTATTCCGAGAGTTATCTCCATCAGTTTTTCTGATATGGAATCTCTTGGCGAGTAAACAATCACTATATTATTGGCTGGAAAAGTAATATTGGATCCATCTTCATATATTCTAATGCATAGCTCTCCAACTGTACTAGCAGTCTGTGGAGTTGATGGGTAATTCATTGTAATATTATTTCGAGTGAAATGATCAGGATCAGTCAATTGACCTAAAGGACGCAGATATATTGAAACTTAGATCTAACAGTTCTGCTCAAGAGTTGGAGTACGGTAATTTTGACTGTAGAATTTTTTAATTAATTAATCTTCTTTATATATAGGGAAAACTAGAAACAAGAGGAAATATAATTGTCATCTACATTTGAAGATTCATGGGTTCTGCTAAACAATTTACATAAGTAGAAAAGTCGAGGTGACAAGTGTAGAATTTCTACTAATAACGCATTCTACTCGCGTAGAGCTCATATTTGCAAGCTTCCTTTCTTTCGTATTCTACATGTGTGCTGATACAACTACTTTAGTATCCGGGAGGTAAACTCTATGGTTCAACTTAGTATTGGACTCTTATATCCTTCCAGTTATGAGTTTATAGCTACAATTTGTTGTGATTTAATTTAGTGAACTTATGGATTCAATTGAACCCGTTGGTACTGGTCTACGTTCGCTCTTGACTATAGACTAATGGGTTTTCCACTAAAATAAAAATTTATATTTATGTATGCCTACTTAGTAGTTCATGATATATTTCCGTAAAAATATAAAAATAAATTTAATTTATGTTTTTATATATGAAGGATTTTACGCAAGTAATATATGAATTTAGTTTTAATTTACGAGACTTTAGAAAATAATTTCTCATGAAGACACAGAAAACAAATAAAATTTATAAGACTAACAAATAAAGAAGTGAAATACAAGCTCTGACTTGTGCCGATATTAATTCTTGGTCTTCGCTTCACTTTCTTTTGCAGTTTTCCAGAAGTTCACATTGTCAATTAAATGTATCTTTCTCATGAGCAATCGCTATCTTCATGTTGACTTGTGCCATCAATAATTGGTTTAGTCTCCTCAAATTTCCTCCGCAATTACTGCTAACGTATTTTCTTTATCCTTTTAAATTCCTCAACAGTTTCTAGCTTTAAGGGTGTTTTTGTTACTAAGGAAAATATTTTTTGAAAAATAGTTTTCAATTTTTTTTTAATGTTTGATTTACTTAGTTGTTTTGAAATATATTTTTTTTGGAAATGCATTTTTCTCTTATCGGAAAAAAATGATTTCCATACCAAAAGTATCAAAATCAACCTTCCACTCCCACGGTCCCACCCCCGCTCTCCACACCCCAGCTTGTGTCCCCCCGCCACCTTCTGCCGTTGCACTTCCACCTCGGGCCCTAGGCCCCCACCTACCATCCTCTTTCGCGCTTATCGACTTACCCATTTAGTCTATTATAGTATTTTCTAAATTATACCCTCTCCGTTTCAATTTATATAAACCCATTTGATTGAGCACAGAGTTTAAGAAAAAAGAGAAGACTTTTGAACTTATAGTGTAAAATGAGGCAGATATATTTTGTGTGACTATAAATCATTATATAAAGGTATATTGTTTTCAAATAGAGAAATTGATCATTCTTTTTGATACGGACTAAAAAGAAATAAGTTCACATAAATTAAAACGGAAGGAGTATATTTTTAAAAAGTATTTTCTATTTCCAAACCAAACACTAGAAAATACCTCCGTTTCAAGTTACGTGAACTCATTTGATTTGGCACAGAGTTTAAAAAAAGAGAGAAGACTTTTGAACTTGTGGTGTAAAATGAGACAGATATATTTTGTGTGGCTATAAATCATTGTATAAAGATAAATTATTTTCAAATAGAAAAATTGGTCATTCTTTTTGGCACGGACTAAAAAGAAAATAAGTTTACATAAAGTATATTTTTAAAAAGCATTTTCTATTACCAAACCAAACACTAGAAAATAAGGTTGTTTTCCAATAAAAATATTTTCCATCGTAAACACACCCCAAGTGTTATGCCGACAGCGTTAGCTTGGTCTTTCCTCGAATTTTCCATGCAATTGCTCAGAACCTTTCCTTATTCATTACGTGGATACCGCTTGGTCATACGTCAAATTGTTGGGTCAAATCTTTCAAGTCAAGGCAAAGTAATTATCCTTGTTGGCTGTTGCACGTCATGTTTCTTGGCATCATCAGATGGCAAAACGGTATAAAGACATAACCATCATTTCTTTCCTTCCACCAGCCATACTAGAATTCATATATTTGCATGTGAAGATCTTGATCTTATTTGAGAGAGAGAGAGAGTAAGAGGAGATGAAAGGCAAAAATCTCCTTAAGCAAAGAGGTCAGTTGATGCTGCTAACATCAATTGAAGAAGATCGGCTAACGGCAGCCAAGATTGTGACTATTACTTGTGGGGTAGCAACTTTCTTGCCTTTTCTTCCCTACAAATATATAGGCCAAAACCGTGTCCTTGTATTCATTTCTAAGGAAATGCAATATCTTTTCCATGCATTTGTGGTATTTCTTATGTTATCTTTCGCGACTTCCTTCAGCGCGTTGTACTTGAGCAGCAAATGGCCAAAGGCAGCAAAGTTCTGCAAATTCTGCTCTATCTCTTACTTGGTGTCCGCCATGGCTTTCGCTATATATTGCTTTTTCTAAGTTTGATGAAGCAAGTATTATACTCCCAGTCGCTGTATTGTACTGGATTCATAATTTACCACCTATCACCATAGCTGCCGTCACTGTCAATAGCCACCATCATCATCAACCAATATAGTTATCCCTACACCCACACAATCACCACCATCAGTGACGAAGCCACATGGTCATATTGACCACCCTAAATATTATGTTTTAGAGATATATAACACATATTAAACACCCTTTATCGGAATTGTTTTTTCACTTCTTTTAAATTTGAACACTCTTGGGAAAATTTCTAGCTTCGCCACTGACCACCATCACCCACCAATACCAAACTACCGTAATCAGCCGCCACCAACAACTACATTATCAACCACCACTGTTAACCAACTGTCAGCCACACCACAACTAGCTACTACAATTAAATCTCTCTATAACAATCTTGTTTGTTCCGATAATATTTTGCTGTTATAGTGAAGTGTTGTTATATAGGACATATATTATAACATAAATAAAAATTGATTCCCCAAAAATCTTGGTTTTTATAGTAAATGATTGTTTTATAAAGATGTTATAGAAAGTCTTCCATATCAACAATTACCACTTTTTTCAAACAAAAAAAAACAATTACGACCATAAGCCAACACCACTACCATTCAACATCCACAACCACCAACTTTAGCCACGGCTACACCCCCTCGAGGAAATGATATCCTATACTCACGCAACGATCCTACAAATATCTCGTTGAGTATTTATGATTTTAATATATTCTTAAAAGACGACATAAGAAAATCTCGATCCCTTGACTAAGAGAAAGCCACAGCAACAGCAAGGAAGAGGCATGCAAATCCAGCAGTCCAGATAGAGATAGCATTGGCAGGAAGGAACAGCCCCATGGAGACAATGACAGCGCAAGCTGCTGCAATGGCACCTATTTTTCCCACAATGATAGACGCAGCCGTAGCCACCCGTTTCTTGCTCCTTCTAAACCACATACCAATGAAAGTGCCAATAAATCCCAGG